GTTTTTTGCTATTTCTGCTGAGAATTTTGGTAAAAATCTGCAGATTTCTGCGGAATTATTTTGGCAGTATCCAGCGGAGTATCATAACTTGCACCTTAATATATTAAATAAAAAGTAATAAATTACTGAATAAAAACTGAATAAATTCCGATTTACACATTTACTCAAGTAAATAAACAGAATTTATTATGGGCTAAAAAATTATTATGCGGAAAATCTGCGGAATCTGCGCGCGCAGATTCCGTGTGGGCTTAGTTATGAGTCTATTCAACACAATTCCGCATATTTCAGGTTCTGTTACTACTTGTACAAGTGTACCAAGGACACTTAGCCTACTTTTGACTGGACGGTTCTCGCGGTAGTGAGCTACAGTCACTCTGAGCCCCAGTTTAGCACCGGCGTCACAGTTTTTTGAACAGGGGTCCGTTCTTCGTACGTGGATTACTCAGTTAGCTGGATTTGGATATTGACGATTTGACACGATCCAGGATCGTTTCGTTCTTCAAAGCTGATCCGAGAGTTGTTGTCATAGCAACAGTTCTGCTAGGTCAAACCTGATCGGGAGCAGGTTCAATTCATATAAACAGGATTAGATCGGCTCAGTTCAAGCAAAGATAATACAGAAAGTTTGTTCCGAATTCTGATATTTTGTTACAGTAGTAGTTATATACACTTGGGAAAATGGTAAATATTTTTTAACTATATATATAAAGTTATAGTCATTAATAAAATAAATAAAGTTATACATATTAATAAAACGTAGACTATACAATCTGCACTCTCGAAATGAAAGTACAAAGACTGCCATCTGGTGCAAAGAGAAAACTTATTGATATGAACTTTTTAGATCGCTTTAGTACAAATTGTGTGTAATAGAAATGCACAATATGTGACTTTTTTTAAAGCAATAATACATGTCAGCAGTCATGAACATGTTTTGATAGTTAATAGTGATTTGAAGCTTCACAAAAGTTGCAGACGCCTTTACCAATATGAAAATGCTTTTGTAAACAACCTGTTATTCTTTACACCGATTAAAAAACGGCTACAATAATAAAGAAAATCTTTTCTAAATGTAGAACTAAATACACTGATATGCATTGAAATACATGATGAATACTCTTGTCTTGACAAATAAAAGTGTAAAGCCTGCAGCTCACAACAAATGTGGAAAGTTCTTGCGTGTCATATTTAACAAGCCGTTTACTGCTAATTTGATGTAATTTTGCTCACATGGATAATTGAATATTAATCAGATGATGTCATTACGCTGCTGTGCCGTCAGCCAATCGTTGCATTGCTGATCATGATTTCGAGGATCGATAGATCTGTCCTTCATAACACACGCAGCGATCTCAGATCAGTTCATCCAGACATTCTAATCTGATTCGCGAACTTGTTTGAAGAACCAAATTAGCGAGAGATCAGTTATCAAGATTAAAAGATCCAGGATCTGCCAAATAATCTTAGATCATTTAAGCGAGGTACGAAGAACGGACCCCTGATGTTCATATAACCGTCTGTTTATTGTTATGCAAATAATGTCATTATTCAAAACCTCTTATTGGTCCTTAAAAACTCTTAAAATGTAGATTGGTATTGGTAAGCTAGTGGTGAGCACTATAGAAAATTATTATTTTAATCCATATCTTTGTCTTGTTTTCAGAAACACATTGCAGAATCATTCGCATGAGAAGCTTGTGTTCAGATAATTCATGTTGATTTCAAAAGAGTTATTTTCTTGAGCAATGCATACATCTACGATTAAAACTAGAAAATTAGATGGGGATTTTGCTTGAATTAAACATTTTAATTCTCAGAACGTAAGCCTTGTTATCTAATTTGCATAAATGAAGAAGCACCATCGTCTTATTTGAAGGATTGCATATTTTCGGTGGAAAGCACGACGAAAAATTCGGATTAATTTGATTAATTGATTTGTGCATCTAGAGAAAAATGACCGTGTTTTCTGCCAGGATGCAGAATGAGTTTAGCTCCGATCGTCAAATTACATTTGATTGGATTAATACCGTTTGAGTGTACAGGCTTTGTTTGCTTATAATTACATTATTGAGGTGAAAGCTGCTTTAGAATATTTGAGAAAAAAGGAAGAGAGAGGTTTATAAACATGAAGGTTTCTGACCTACAGCAACACATCTGCCAACAGAGTCATCAACACACACAACACACACACTGTTATTTGGATTGCACTTCAATTTAAGCAATGCATTCCACTGACAGATGTTGACTCTATAAATGCTGATCGTAATATATTTGTATTTGCACAAATCATCTAAACAAAAGATGACCCATTAACACATTTCTGAGCTTTTGTCGGGTTTGCATTAAACTATGACGGTTAATTGTTTTTAGCATGTTGCTATGGTGAGATTTGGTTAATAGCTGGTTCAAGTCAAACGTGTCGACTGCTAGTCCCTTCTGTGCATTGTATTTATTGCCCCTCACTCATTTTAACCTTCATCTGGTGATTTTCAATTAGCAGCAGCACATCCCTGTCTTCGCAGACCTCTTGCGTTCCTTATTGGATCACACACAACAAGGCCTTTAGTGGAGTGTTGTAGTTTGACTTTATTGCTCACCTTTTTACCTCCTCATATGAATAACGTATGAGCTTCTGGACAAAACTGTTCATTTCTGAATTATTAATATTGACACATATTCCACTTTTTTTCATAGCATGGAAGGTCTTGCTCTTTACAGTTGAGTGTATTGTTCGGGTTAATGGTCGCTGCTTTTGAACTGCACTATTCAGCTGTGATTTTGTAGGTTATGTCTGTATCGTGGGATTTCATATGTACCTGGTTCCCAGAGCCAGTTCTTCCTTGTGAAACAGCTAACAAATTTCTTTTCACATTTATTTATTTCAGGAAGTTTAAAGGTTTATCGCCCACACTTTGCAATTATAATCTATTATGTTGTAACCAACATAAACTACTGATCAGGCTCCCTGATCAGGTTTTTCATGATGTTTTATTGATGTTTACATGATGTTTTTATTTGTGGTAATTCCCAGAAATTTGTGGACAATTTTGCAATTAAAAAATATATAAATATATATCTTTATATATATATATATATATATATATATATATATATATATATATATATATATATATATATATATATATATATATATATATATCTTATTAACCATATTAGGTAACCTATTGTGTTAGGTGTTCAATGTGACACAACGACACAAATCATAAAAATAAGGCTTCATTATTTTGGTCTTGGGCGTCACGGTGGCGCAGTGGATAGCATGATTGCCTCACAGCAAGAAAGTCACTGGTTTTAACCCCGGCTGGGTCCATTGGCATTTCTGTGTGGAGTTTGCATGTTCTCCCCGTTGACATGGGTTTTCTCTGGGTGCTCGGGTTTCCCTCACAGTCCAAAAACATGCACTATAGGGGAATTGAATAAGTTAAATTGTTCTTAGTGTATTGCTGTTTCCCAGTCTTGGGTTGTGGCTGGAAGGGCATCTGCTTTGTAAAACTTATGCTGAATAAGTTGGAGGTTCATTCCGCTGTGGAGACCCTAGATTAATAAAGGGACTAGGAGATTGAGCGCATTCAGAGAGAGAGAGAAATCACATCACAAATACGGTCCTCTTCTCCTTTTTGGTTCAAATAAGGTTTCCCAGCACCCCTCAAAGCTTTCCTTACTCTGTCCTTCAATTTGTTCTTGTCCTTTTTTTGCCAAGGGTTTGCCTTTTAATGTCTAAAGCAGACATGACAGCAAGCGGCATCTCCATTCTTCTTAGTGGACATAAACGTTTTATCCCATTTTCATGTGTTGCAATTTTAATGTTTAAAATGCAGACTCTTGGTTACATGAAAATATCCCCAAACTGTTTCTGTACACAAAGTTCACACATACAGTTAATGTCACATAGTTGACTCAATTATATTTGTTTTGGACATACATGGTTGTTCATCACGTGCACTCTTTTATTACTCATTGTTCAGTATTTTCTAATGCATTCTTAAAATCTAAAGTTGTGACTGTTAGCATTAGTTAATGCACTGTGAATTGTTAAGAGCTTAGAATTATTGGCTTTATTTTAATTAATTATTGTTAACAAAAATGAATAAATATTGTAATAAATGTATTGTTCATCGTGTGTGTGTGTGTGTGTGTGTGTGTGTGTGTGTGTGTGTATACATACATATACAGTAGAAGTCAGAATTATTAGCCCCCCTTAAATTTTTACTTTTTTTGTTTAAATTTCTCAAATTATGTTTAACAGAGCAAGGAAATTTTCACAGTATGTCTGATAATATTTTTTCTTCTGGAAAAAGCCTTATTTGTTTTATTTTGGCTAGAATAAAAGCAGTTTTAATTTTTTAGACACTATTTTAAGGACAAAATTATTAGCCCCTTTAAGCTAATTTTTTTTTCGATAGTCTACAGAACAAACCATCATTATACAATAACTTGCCTAATTACCCTAACCTGCCTAGTTAACCAAATTAACCTAGTTAAGCCTTTAAATGTCACTTTAAGCTGTATAGAAGTTGCTTAAAAAATATCTAGTCAACTATTATTTACTGTCATCATGGCAAAGAGAAAATAAATTAGTTGTTAGTTATTAAAACTATTATGTTTTGAAATGTGTTGGAAAAATTCTCTCCGTTAAACAGAAGTTGGGGAAAAAATCAACGGGGCTAATAATGCGAGGGGGCTAATAATTCTGTATAATAAATAGTAAATGCATAATGAAAACTTGTTGTAAAGTCTTAACGATTAAAAAAGTATACTTATTTTTCTCAAAATATTGTTTGCTTTGATTTCCCAGAATTTTCCTGCAATTTTGACACATCTAAATCCGATAAATTGCATTGTCTGCCTTCAAACGAAACAGGCTCTAGAATAAATTGTTCAGTGACACGTTGTGCAGTGTAACATTCAGAGAGATGCATTTTACATGTTGACCTTCAGTGCCTCTAACGTGCCCCTTTTTCTTTCTTTTTTTACAGAGAAATGAGGCCTCTTCTGAAGAACAGCCTTGAATATTTCCCTCACTGAGGATGTGCGATGATTTCGACTCTGCACAACCGCTTCTGAGGTCACTTCTTCTCTAGACGCTTTTATACCTCAGGGTTGACTATCAAAACTCATAAGTGTCTGTGTGCTTCCCTGTCGAGCACTGCTGGATTCGAGACCAGTTTTGCTTCGCTGCATCCGGAGTGCAAAACTGCTGAACCATCGCCCTCCATGGTTTCTGCCCATTTCAAAAAGCTATCGTCTTACATTGTAAAGATTTGCAAAGGAATGTTTACAAAGAAACTGGCAACTACCACCAAGAAGAAAGAGAGCAGCGAAAACAAAAAAGAACCCAAATCGACGTCCCCTGAATTGCACGCTCGCAACCCGACGTTCTCCACCACACTAAAAAGCACAGTTAAAAAAATCTCCAAATGCTCATCCACACGCAATATATCTCTTGAAGAGGATGACGGCAAAACCGACTGTTCTTCTCTCTCGCCAACATTCAGTTACCGCGTAGCAATTGCCAACGGACTGCCCAAAAATGCCCTGTTTCTGAACAATGAATTTCATGAGGTCTTGTCAATTGATAGCGATTACTCTGACTCTCTGAACGAGGCAAAACTTGTCCATAGATTCGATGAACAAAAAGCTTACACGATGCCAGTAAGAAGGAATCGGAAGAGTTTGATTAGTTTGGCGCCCTCCGATGGCAGCTCGGAGGGGGAACGTGGAGAGCGCAGCAGTCTCCACACCCTCCGATTGGGCGCCTTGAAAAAGCTAAGGAAATGGAAGAAGAGCCAAGAATGCGTGTCCTCAGACTCGGAGGCCAGCAATTGGAGAAAAACTCTTGGCATTCGAAGCAAATCTTTGGACAGGGCCGGCCGACACCAGAAAACCACTACCCTGGAGCCAGGATCTAGCTCCACGGGATGCATCAGTCAGACTCAGGATGTGATGGAGATGATTTTCAAGGAGCTTCAGGGAATCAGTCAGATCGAGTCCGAGCTCTCAGAACTGCGAGGGCATGTAAACGCCCTCAAAAGCTCCATCGATGAGATCTCCAGCAGTGTGGAGGTGGTGCAGAGTGAAATCGAGCAGCTCCGTTCAGGTTTCGTGCAGTCCAGACGCGAGACTCGAGACATTCATGATTACATCCGACAGATCAGCCAACAGAGCAACAAAGCTACTCTGAGATTTCTAAATGTGCCTGAGGAGAAGTACGAAAAAACCGAAGAACTTATCTATCAGATCCTAAAAGAGAAAATGGGTTTCATTGATGCACGTAAGGCATTTAAAATTGAACTAGCCCATCGGCTGGGGCAACAAAGAGAATGTTACAATGCTAAACCACGACCAATTATAGTTATATTTGCAAGCCCGCAAGACAGAGATTTAGTTTTGAAAAAATGTTATAAGCTTAAAGGGACTGGAATATCCATCTCCACTGACAGTCTAGCACACGACTCGAAAGAAAAGAGAGAAAAGCCGATAGCTTCATCTCAGACATACGAAAGCATGGACATCAAGGTCTCGGCTAAAGACAAGGCTGAAAGTGATGACTGGGACTCCATGGAAAGCGACAAAGAGCTTGATGAGTTAAACAAGAACAAATATGCAATTGTGTCCAAACCACTTCCAAAAAGTAAATCGGACAAGAAAAAATCCCACGATCACAGAAGAATGGGTGATGACTCTCCATATTCTGTACACTATGCGGATAACACAGCCTACGATGACCCCGACAAGCAAAGCAAGTCCTACTACTCTGACATTACACCTGGATGGCTGTCTCAGAGCGACTACTCCACTCCCAAACTTAGCCGATCTGAATCAGACTGCTCTAAACTTTGCCAGTCTTACTCTGAGGACTTCTCAGAGAGTCAGTATTTCACCAGAGTCAATGGCTGCTCTTTGCTTTCGTCCTCAGATCAGGAGCTTTGGCAGCGTAAGCAAGAAGACATGGCGTCCTCCTGGTACGCCAGTCCCCCCAGTCAAACTCTGAGCCAAGATCGACCTTATGTGGAACATAATGAAGTTGAAACCACAGAGACTATTGACAGTGGTGTAAGTAATGGTCTTGTTTGCATATCAGGAGACAGGAGCCATTACAGCGGCTCCCAGCTATCGCTGCAGGGTGACCTCTCGCCATGGAAAGACTGGCATCACCTTGAACAAGGTGCTGATTCAGGTTTGGATGCCTCAACTGAACAGAACATAATCTCTGAAATCAGTAGCCCATTTGACCCAGCAGCTAACCCTGGTTTCCCTGAAAAAATTATTAAGTGTCTTGAGGTTGATTTGCAATTTGAAGGTGAGACGTTCTTGACACTAGATAGCACTCCTGAGACAGGAGACCAAGATATAGACATGGAGCCTGAGTTTTTAGAACCTGAGTTAGAACCTGAAGTTGAGGCTGTGATTGAACCAATGATTAAACAAGAACGAGAACCAATGCCACAGCCAGAACCTGAACTAGAACCTGAACTAGAACCTGAACCAGAACCTGAACCAGAACCTGAACAAGAACCAGAACCAGAACCAGAACCAGTGATTGAACCCATTCCAAAACCAGTACCAGTATCAGTATCTAAACCTGTGGTTGAACAGCAAACCGAAAAGAAGCCTAAAACCAAGAAGATCCAAGCTAAACCTGAATCAGCTCCACAAACTTTGCAGCGACAAGATGTGAACCACCACCTCCAGCAGAACCAGAAATCCTCAGCTATGTACCGGAGCCAGAGTGAGATTAGAAATGAGAAGGTTGAGGATGTCCCCAAATCCTGGAGTAGCAGGCTCAGCATCGACCTCAGCGAGAAAACCTTCGGCTTTGGGGGATTTGGATCCACCCTGCAAAGAGCAAAGTCAGCTTTGGATTTTGTGTGGAATAAAGGTTCCCAGAGTACTAGCGCACCGGTTGAAGAAACCAGCAACACCTCGTTCATGGGCCGGTTCAGAACCACATCCACAGCCAATAGCTCCAGTACAACCATTGATTCTGACGTCTACACAGAACCTTTCTATTACAAGGCAGAAGAAGAGGAACAACAACAGCAACAACCTGCTGAGCAACCTGTGGACAATGAAACGCATTATGTTGAGGTGATGGAACAAGTGCTAGCCAATCTGGAAAACAGAACAAACGCAAACGAACCCGAGGAACAGTACCAAGAAGAGGAATACAATGTCTCACAGGAGTATGATCTCTCTCAAGACGCCAACCTTGTACTGGAATATGATTGCAGCCTCGATGAACAGTATGATGAGGAATACAGTGAGGACTACGATGACAATCCTATGACTGAAGACACAGCAGAATATGAGGTTAGTTTAGTGGATTATGTTGAAGAAACCGAGGAACCGGAAGCAGAGACAGAGGAACAGGAGGAGGTCAAAGAGGAGGTGCGGGAGGTTCAGGAAACATCTGAAATTAAAGGAGAAGATGTGGTAAAAGAGACCGTAGAGCAAGAGGATGAGAATAAAAATGTTACAGAGGTTCCTGTGCAAGAAGCACCACCCAAAAAAAGGATACGTCCCACATTCAAAGAGGCAGCACTGAGAGCTTACAGGAAGCAGATGGCGGAGCTGGAGCAGCAGATCCTGGCAGGAGGTACGAACCAACTAGTTATGTGTAGTGACATGTTTACTGCTTACATTATAAGTGTTCATACTTGCGGGTAGAAAAAAACAATGCTGCATTTAGTCCAATCATTAAACTTATAAAATATGAACAATTTTTAAAACGGATTTGATTAGAGATACATTTAGTAAGTAAGGCACATTTATATAACACATTTGCCGTAAACCCAAAGAGCTTTACAATTGTATGAGGGAGTCCTTTCACCCCACCACCATTTACTCATTTAGAAGACACTTGTGAGGATTAGAGAAGCACTTGCAATTATCAGAGAGTTGCAGTGTGGTTATGCAACATATGCTCGTTCTGAAAACGTAGCCCTATATACATTTCAGGACATTGCGAATTGGCGACGCGGTGGTGCAGTTGGTAGTGTTGTCGCCTCACAGCAAGAAGGTCGCTGGTTCGAGCCTCGGTCAGTTGGCATTTATGTGTGGAGTTTGCATGTTCTCCCTATGTTGGTGTGGGTTTCCTCCAGGTGCTCCGGTGTACCCCACAAGTCCAAAGACATGCGGTATAGGCAAATTGGGTAAGCTAAATTGTCCATAGTGTATGTGTGTGCGAATGAGTGTGTATAGGTTTCCCAGTGATGGGTTGCAGCTGGAAGGGCATCTGCTGCGTAAAGACATGTGCTGGATAAGTTGGCAGTTCATTCCGCTGTGGCGACCAAAGATTAATAAAGGGACTAAGCCAAAAAGAAAATGAATGAATGAATGAATAAGATTGCGAATTATGTAGCCAGAAGTACAAATGGCTGCATATCGTCTTTAAAACAAACGCTATGGGAAGGTATGACGTCGCTACTTTTTGTGCTTACTAGCTGACCGTGGATAGGTTTCTAGCAGTTTGTCTAGTTAGCTTGTCATGTACATCGGCGGACTTGAGACTCAGAGAGAAGTTGACAGGGTTCGAGTCCAGTGAAGAACGGTTCTAGAAAGCTGGTAAGACAAAAACAGAAAAAAATTCAAATAAAGTAAAAAACAGAGTGAGACTGCGGTAAAATCTGAAAACGCTGTAAAAAAATCAGACGAGGGCTTTTCTTTTTCTGGATTGCTTTTTAAACTGTCGGTTGGGTTTAGAGAAGTGGGTGAGCGCTGGTCAGTTGGTGCTTTTGAAAACACTATTGGTTGGGTTTAGGGAAGGAGGAGGGTGGATTAATCGATCAATTAATCAGTCAGTCAGTCATTCAGTCAGTCAGTCATTCAGTCAGTAGAAAGCGGCCTCTAATGGATCTACATGAGAACAGTAGGCGAGAATAGCACTCATGAGAAATATGAGATTTCAAAAAGCATACAGTGGCCTCTAGTGGGTTCGCGAAAACAAAAACTGCAATAGAAACGTAGCTCCTGGGACGTATTTGGCACTCTCCAGAAATGTATATAGTGGTACATTTTCAGAATGAGCCTGGGTTATATACATGCTATAACAAGTCTAAGTTATTATTAAATTCATACATGTTTTATGATGTATATTTGTTGTGATTGAACTTTCAAAACAACACTGTGTATATGTTAGTGCTTGTACCAGGTCAGAACTCAACACAGTATTAAAATTTCAATCATTGTGTAAATAAACATCTGCTGTATAGCTGCATTCATAACACATGGACAGAACTATAATGGACCCATGGAGCTCTTACAATGAGATGGAACACATTACAATAGTCCATTCTAGATCAGATAAACGCATGTATGATCTTAGCTATTTATCTTAAGTAGTTTGCACAAGCAGTTTTTGGTGTCACTTAATGTTTATAGATTAGTTTAGAAGTCTTCAGTTTATATTTCAGCCAATTTTGTTGAGAAGTGGATTGAGATCCATCCTTTCACAGCACTCAAGCAGCATTCTTGATGCGCATCATGACTCATGACACTCTCAGAAATAAAGGTACAGGAGCTGTCACTGGGGCAGTACCTTTCCAAAAGGTACACATTTGTACCTGAAGGGTCTATAATGGTACCTCAAAGGTAATTTTTTGGTACATTTGAGCAGTAATATACGCCATTGAGGTACCACAGTGGACCCTTTGGGTACAAATATGTATCATTTGAAAATGCACTGCCCCAGTGACTGTACCTTTATTTCTGAGAGTGTATGGTACACATATTCAAGTAAACCTAACACAAATCTTCAAATAAATCTAGCATACCAGTTGCACCAAAGTTTGTTTTAATCAAACCAAACGTGCCAAGTGTGAACACACCCTAAATTACTGTCTTGAAGTGTTTTGATCAAAGATTTTGGTCATTGTCTATAGGTCATTTAAGATCCACCTTTGTACAAACATTATTTTTTTCTCTTGATTTGGTTCCCAGAAGTAGTGTTAAGGGTTATTCTGAAGGGTGAGATGATGATTAGTATTTGATGTTGAGTGGTTAGAATTGCTGATTGATTTTGTGTGTGTGTGTGTGTGTGTGTGTGTGTGCATGCATGTGTGTGTATGTGTAGGGTTGTCTAGTACCTCGGAGTTCAGATGAAGGTGTACTTTACTTTACCTTCTGTGGCCTCCGAGAGAAAAATCAACATCATCAACTATTAAAGCATTTCTCATTAAAAGAATTGTTCAGCCATATAATAACATTCTTTCTTCATTTACTCTGACTGATTGATATTATTCTAAACCCACATAAAAAAGGAGACTTTTAATAGATGTTTACATAACTCTTTCCTCTCAGACAAAAGCATAAAGTTGTCAATGGGCAACCAGGCTAAAATGTGCCATAAAACATCTTAATAACAATATTTTTATATGAAATTTTGAAGAAATTTATTAAAGAAAACAATTATTAACATTTTACTCAAACTCACTAGTAGTAAATCGAAAGTAAGTTCAGAGAAACTGAGCATTTTCCACAGCTGTATGCAGATTCATCAGGGTGTATTTTTCCTCCAGTTTGTGCATTTCTGCCATCATGCTGGAATGTATTCAGTAAATGTGTTTCCATAATAGTTTATGTACATTTTTTCACTACTCAGTTGTGCGCATACGTTTTTTTAATGCACATTTTAAAAGTTTATGTGCATATTGGCTTTTCCGTTAAGCGTTTTTATGCGATAGCTCACAATGTACATAAAAATGGGTGGATGGAAACATAGCAAATAAAAGCAAACTTCACTAGTTTTTTGTGAGAAATGTAAATGTGATTCGTCACATTTTAATATGTGGATATACAGCTATTGACTAAAACTCTTTAAAAAGTTAGTCTGGAATTATGATTTTTTCTTCTTAAAATAAAAAAAGATGCCATGCGTTGTGAAAGATGAACCAAAAACCAGGGAGAACTTTCAGGTATCTTCAAAGCAGAATCCTTAAATAGGAAACTCGGCGTCATCAAAAGAATGCTGAACTAGTACAGCAGCACTAAGGGCTCTATTTTGACGATCTATGTGCAAAGTGCAAAGCGCAGGGCGCAAACGCATTAAGGTTGTGTCAGAATCCACTTTTGCCAATATTAGGGAGGAAAAATCCGCTTTGCGCCGTGGCGCATGGTCTAAAAGAGTTGAGGTTATTTTCTTAATGAGTTATAGGTGTGTTTTGAAAGTCTCATCTCTCTCTTTAAGAGCCAGTTGTATATATATATATATATATATATATATATATATATATATATATATATATATATATATATATCTTTAATATTTCAAATTTTTTTTCATTTGTAAAGATATTTGCGTATTGCTCTACATCTTGTGTGTATTAAGCAGTGTGTAAGCGAGGCGCATAAATAATGCACTCTGCGCTGGAGAATAGACCAGCTTTGTTCTGGTCTATTGAAAAATCTATTATAGTTTCTTAAACTAAATCATCTGCACCCAACTTCTTTTAGAGAACCTCTTAGCCAGGGTCAGAACGTGGATGCACTAGGACACTGTTTTTGCACATTTCAATGTTTACGAATAGATTACATCAAAAAGAACACAAGTAATCTTGATAAACTTTATATCAATCTAAAGCTACAACCCTCAAGCAGCCGTTGTAGCTGGTTGTTTTTTAATGGGAAGCTTATAAAGAATGCATTTGCTAAATTTGTGTAAGTTGTACACTCTCAGAAATAAAGGTTTACGAGCTGTCACTGGGCTGGTACCTTTTCAAAAGGTACACATTTGTACTTGAAGAGTCCATTTAGGGACCTCAAACGTATATATTAGTACCTACACATTTTAAGAGGAACACTTTTGTAGTTTTTAGGTACTGATATGTTTTAGGGACTTAGCCGAAGGAAAATAAATGAATGAGTTTCCCCCCCAAAAAAGAAATCTCCAGAATTGTGTAGTTTTAGCTCATTTTAAATAAGTCAAGCAGCAAAAATCATTCTGATGGATCAGGTTTGACTGCCTAGACTGAAAAAAAAATATTAAAAATGATTCCTTGAATTAACTTAATTTTTTTAAGTCAAGTGGTTGTAAACAATTTGTTTATGCTGAATTTAAACAAATATATTACGTTGAACATTACTAAATTTAATTTGTTTGTTTAAATTAAACACAAATAAACTGTCTGCTACAATTTTGCAAAAACTTTTTTTCAGTGCATGTGTAAGAGACAGTATCATTTTTCTAAAGTTATGCAAATTGTAAGATCGAGGCACGGCTGTGTCTTTTGTCTAACAAATTACCCAGAGACAAGATTTTTTAACCAAACTTGTTTCTATTAATAAGCAGCATCCCCTAAATTGTGTTTGTAACCCTTGTGAACTGTTCAAATTGACTACCCTTTTGTTATGTTGGTGGCTGTTTTTGCCCCATTGACTTTCATTATAACCGCATTTTTTTGATTGCAAAGCCATGACACCACATAATCATGCAATCTTGATTGTTGGTGATTTTTCCTTTTGGGAACAGGTAAAATTTGTCATTTTTACTGTTGGTGTCGTGGTTTTGCAATCAAAAAATGCGGTTATAATGAAAGTCAATGGGGCAAAAACAGCCACCAACATAACGAAAGGGTAGCCAATTTAAGTGTATTGTTGAGC